ATCTGGTGTGAGCCAGGTCTCTGTGAGTGCGATTATGGACGGTTGTTCAAGGCAAGCTGACTGTTTAACATCGCCGAGTTTGTTGAAAAGGCTGAGACAGCTTTTGGACAAGCATTTTAACACTGTCTCTGCTGCCTCCTCAATTGTTTCTGTGTGCTGAAGTCGATGGAACAGATAAAACACTCAATGGGAAAGTGAAGTGTTTGGTTGTTGGTCTGTTCGCCGAGCTTGGCAGTTGGATTGCAAACGTTTCATCACCAATCGAGGTGACATCGTCCGTGCAGGGTTGAGTGGGTGAATTCACTACCAGGAACACCCACGTACATTTCAAGAGAATTATGGAAGCGGCTGAAATATCTAACCAGTGGGTCCCAACATTCGATCAACAATACGGTACAGTTTTTGAAGAAACTTAAAAACGTGAGACTCGAAGAAGACGAAATAATGGTGTCCTTTGATGTAACCTCACTGTTCACATCGGTTGATTTGAATGCAGCACGGACGACGGCCGCCGAACTCTTGGACAACCGCGGAAACATCAACGGAATGCTCGGAAAAGAAGAAATGTGTGAACTATTAGACCTGTGCTTGACAACCTACTTTGAGTTCAGTGGAGAATATTACGAACAGATCAAAGGAACGCCAATGGGGTCACCAATCTCTGGACTCATCGCGGAAATTACAATGCAGAAACTGGAGCGAATCATACTACCAGATATCAAACCGAAAATATGGGTACGATATGTGGACGACACATTCGCTGTTGTAAAGAAAAATGAACTACTACGAGCGGAGGAACTGCTGAACAACGTGTTTCCCGACATCCAATTCACAATGGAAACTGAGGAGAACAACAAATTGGCGTTCCTAGATGTGCTCGTAACAAGGACAACAAACGGCCAACTACAAACTGAAGTATACAGGAAAGAAACGCATACGGACCAGATTCTGAATTACCACAGCAACCATCCGAACTGTCACAAGCGGAGCTGTGTTCGAACTCTATTCAAGCGGATAGAGACACATTGCAACACAACAGAGGCGAAGAAAAAAGAAGAACGAAGACTCTTCGAGACATTCCGAAATAACGGCTACCCGAGGAATTTCATATGGAGGTGCTTACGAGACCAACATCAGGCTGATCCGTCAACACAACCAGAACAGAGGAAGATTACGCTGCCGTATATCAGAAACGTGGCGGAGATGACTGCACGACACCTACGGCAACATGGAATTGCAGTCGCCTTTAAGCCTACAAACACGTTGAGAAGAACCCTCTCGAAACCAAAGGGAAGTTTGGATGCTTTGAAGAAGACTAACGTGGTCTACAAACTTGAATGCAACGACTGCGACAAACATTATGTTGGCCAAACGGGAAGAAAACTTGCTACGAGAATTCACGAACACAAGCTTGCCAGTAGAAGACATGACCCAATGTCACTCGTCTCAATCCACGAAGACAGAGAAGGACACACGTTCAATTGGGGCAATGTTCAAATACTCACTCACGCAAGAACAAAACGGGGGCGAGAATTTGCCGAGGCGTGGTACTGCACACAAAAATCGATCAATAAACACATCGACATTGACCCAGTCTATCAGCGGTTACGAGCGAAAGAACCACACGGTCACGGGACTCGGAGCTAAGAAACCTAACAGCAACCAACGGACTAATTGGGTCAAAAGAAGACAATCACGAAAAACAGAAGGCCAATCAAATGAGCAAAACCCACCCCACAAAGCAAGAAGGAAACGACCGAACCACAGCATGACAACCACATACAGAACTGCCGAATTGAATGCACCCAACGAACCAACCAGACACATGAGATTGAAACCACGTGAGGTTCACAGAAGACCAATCAAACTACACGACGACCGTTTCAAGAACTACCACATATTGTTTAGAAGCTATGTAATCACAGGCAGAAGAGGAGGAATTCACCCACTCAACCCTGCACTGACGACGTCACCTCGATTGGTGATGAAACGTTTGCAATCCAACTGCCAAGCTCGGCGAACAGACCAACAACCAAACAACGCACCCGAGCTGCCTACATTCCACAACATTGCTAAAGTGCAGTGTGTTTGGGTTGATAAAGCTCGTAGTTTCCGGCGTATTTCTGTTTCAGGATGTGACACCATCGGCGGCGACCACTCAATAAATAGTATATCTGTGCACCTTTCACAGAGATATGGCAAGTTTGTGTCGACTGTATGCCCTCTGAGTTCAATCGCGTTTCGTTTCGTACAGTGTGACTGCATACTGAGTCCACAGATATCCGCATTGGGTTGCTGGTGTTGTCGTCGATCTGGAGATTGGCTCTTTTGGAGTGTAGTTGAGGTGACCACCACAGCCTGCTGCTACGCCATGAAGTGGGACGAAAAAAGTTGGCTGTATCAATTTTAGCTATTCGGATTGACAACTGGAAATCCTTTTGTCATCTGATCAATTCCTCTGAATCTCCTTATATCCGAAGGTTCCTTTTGCTGTCGAAATTTGGATTCGTCAAATTGGGTTTACTTCGTAACTGCAGCCGAGGTGGGGGCGAAATGGCTCAGTGGTTAGAGCGCGAATTACTGACCGGAATGTCCGTGGTTCGAACCCGCCCTCTGCCTCTCGACTTCCCTTGTCTAGCCTTGGGCAACCTGGCGGTATCCCAGCCCTCGTGGTTCCCTCGGATGGCATGGCAGCTAGACACTGAAAGAGTGCTACAGCTGAACGATTTCTATACAGCTGAGCTGCACTACATGGTAACTCCGTAGTTGTCTGAACAGCAATCTAAGTACGAGTACAGGAACCGTGAAGCCACAGAATAACCGATGCTCGCTGCACAGACGTTAGGGAGCGGTTCTTTCACTTGTATGCTGAACCGGTGTGCATTTTTGCCATAAACACTCGCACGATCTTCCTTGCAGACCACCGACCACAAACCATTCTTGAAATCAAATGGACCATGCGACAATCAGTTCCGTGGATGTTTGGATTGCCGTTGCGCGCAATGCGATTCCAACCTTGCCATCATGGGGAATGTCCGCTTAGCATCTGGATTGCGCAAACTGACGCGGTATCATCTAGTTCGTTGTTGAGATACTGTTGTCAGTCCCTTCCATTGCAACAGCAGGCAGCGCGTTTCAGATCTTAAGTATCATCCATTGAAAAATTAAGGGTCTCTGAGGGCTTGTAAGCCATCGGTTTCTGAATAGTGAATCACTGAAACTGTCAGTCATTATTGAGCAACGCGGCAGCACGTCGGCTAGCAGTTCAGCTTTGAAGTCGCATCGTATTATTCGTCGGAAGCTAATCAGGTCACCCCTGGCTCTGTGACACTCGGTCGAATCGATCCAGGTGTGACATTTTGTCTTCATATCACGTTGTTGTCTAACAACGATAGTTTTTTAACTGAAATTTGCTTTTTACACCACTGTCCTTGATTATCAAAGGCGTTACTTCTAAATTTTCATCCCCTATAAAGGTGTTATGCATGAACTCCTGTGGGGGCCTGGGGTCTACGGAAAACTCGCCCGAGTTCACCACGTCTAGCGCTGGGAGACAGGACTGTTCTCTCTCCCCGATGCCCTTCAGCTTTGTTATTCATATGTTGCTTGAAGTTCCCCTGCCTGCTTCTGACATTGTGGGATCGAAACGCTTCTTGAACTTTCGCCCATAGAAGTTGAGAACGCAGTTGGTATCACTCTCCTTGTTACTGCTGTTTCAGATACGCCAGTCATTACCCTACCGCACGGTTTGGCGTACTCCTCATGCCTGAAAATTTTCAAATTTCACTATACCACTTGGGATCAAACCTGGACTATTGTTCAGCTTAGCAATGTTGAAGTGTGTGAGATGGTTCTGAGAACCGGTTTCCATACGGTGAAGGGAGCGGGCGCGCATCAGGTTATGCTGGTAAGGATATGCACTTCGAATGATTGAGAGCTATCTACCTCACAACTTTGTTTTTGGCCAGCCCTCTACTGAGTGGTAACAACTAAAAGGTGGACGGTGAATTTCGGAAGTTATAACTGGCAAATTCAAATGGGTCGATGACTTCCGCCCCACCCCCAGGACGAAGACCCAGGGGCTTGTCCTGTCAACTTTTGATGGCGCTGACGGATGTGTCTGTCATTCTGTCAGCGACGCTCTTCCATTGGAGCTATCTACTTCAGTGTACCGCTGTCCAATTTCCCTTCTGTCGGGTAGTTAGAGCAATTCTACCTTAAATGGTCTATCATTTCACCTCCTCTCATCTCCTGCTCTTTGATGAAGCGGACTGGACCAACGTATCCGCGGTGTATGATTTATGTATGTCAAACTGGAATAAACTGACTAAGCGGCCCCGGTCGATCACCTGATCTCAGTTTAGGCAGTATAGCGGTGCGTTTAATAGTGTCCTCACAACCTATTTCTTGCTTCCTGTCCCTCACTCTCAAAATACCTTCCCATTAAGTTGTAATCGTTTGACTTGTGCTGCAAAATTATCACACGAAAGATAACGTGGTCCTCCACTAATTCTCCACCAGTCAACAAAGGCGTAACATTTGTTGTAATTCTTACACCGGTTCATGATCATGTATATGATATACTAAGGTGCATCAGCAGTGCCATTAGCGAACTGATGTACCTAGGAGATTAATGTTCTAACACTGTTGGAACCGTATTAATTTCGGTCTGTTATTATTCCAACTATGTCTATGAATACCTGTTCATATTAACTTTCAGGACACATTCTAACCACTTTGTATTTGGATTTTTAGCGAATCGCTCTATTATGAGTATCTGGTGCCCGTTGGGCCGTAAACTTAGCACACCCTACGCTGTACTTTGCCAACCCATACGAACACGATACGTGGCTGATCCAGGTACCCTGGAACAACGCCTTTTTCGAGCGGTGACGCAGCCTGTTATCCCTCCTCTTGGTATCACTCCAACAGAGAGGCGTATTAGAAATCAGGAGCAACGGCGGATTCGTGTAAGTGACAGTTTGGTCCCAGACACAGTCGAGTAACTTTTCTTAATCCTCATGTGTAGACTTCATCATGGATGAAGTTATGTGCATGAAGTGATATGTATTTGGTGCGTTGACAACTCTAAGATTTATTTTTAAAGACCGCCATGTTTTCAACTCCACCGTAAGTTGTACAAAGCCTAAACCAAATCCTACACTGACCAGACCGGGTTGGATTTTCAAATCAACAACATAGTAAACGGTCAAACCTTTCTACTGTGCGTCGTAACGAACGTCATAGAAGTTCGAGGTAGATCGTGGTTTGAGACGTCAGATTTTGACATTGCTGATTTTTCGATTGGTCACCTCAAGGCCTGTTCAGTCTAGCACTTTCTCAGTTTTCCTACTTCCTATTAATATTCCGGCCACGTACCGTATGGGTGCGGTACAATATTCCCACTGAGGAAAACCGGACTTTATTCAGAGTAGTCGTCATCCCGAGCCGAGGATATTGTGCTATTCTAAAATTGTTCAGTTTCTTCCCACGGTAATATAAATGACTGAAACAAAACGACGGTGAAATAGTGACTAAAAATCGCAGGTAAGGGAAGCCATCAAGTGACAGCCAAGTTGTCCTCAGAGCGAATCACATTTTGTATGGAAATCTTGCCTATTTGCCAGACCACTCTTCAACAGAGGTCGCTAATTCCCCCGTGGTGGTTCTAATATGTTTCTGTTGAGATCTAAGCGCATCGAATCATGGCTGCGGAATCCCTTTGATGAAATAGCTGTTTTACTGCATTATTTCGTTGTAGGGACTATGATGGTTGTTTATTCCTAAACAAGGCGACGTATTTCAGGTTCAACCGACTCTAATCATGTTTCACATCCCGTACCAGACATGACATGAGTGGCTCCAAGTACTTTTTATCAGGCCTTAACGTTTAACATTGTTCCCGGAGGGCGACTGCTTTTTCTGCGTCATTTTTTGTTCCCTATCACTTGCCAGACTGTCATTGATGCTCCTTTCGTTTCGCTTTCAGGAAGAAAATAACCCTTATCGAAAGTTCCTGGTGGAGAAAGCTCGTTCCGACTTCTTTCGTGAAGCCGATGACCGTATGGTGCTTGTAATACAACCTCTGCATCACAAGTGGCGAGAGTTTGTGCCTATTCGAAACCAGCTCTTCTTAAAAAATATGGTGTTTCATGGATTTCCTGTACCAATCTTGAGGTTCGTTCACAAACATGCTTTGGTCCTGGTGCGATATTACTATAGTTAATAGGTTTCATACAACAGTGACGGCTTCGTTTATTGTGATTTCACTGAATGTGAATTCATACTTTGCCTTGAGAATCTTGCTTGTGGCCAGCAGTGATTCTGAAATGCTGAAGTGCTGAATTAGTAACGTTCCATAAGCTAGCTGTACTGGGGTGGTCACAATTTTCATGTCAACGGACCGAATTCCCTGAAGAGCATCTATCCGTCAGCCGTGTACCTGGTAGGAGGGTCTAGAGCAGGTCAGATAACGACTTAATGGTAAAGTATGAAGGCTATAACGAGTCGATAGGGAATACGTAGATGATTAGAGATACCGATAACATACGTCCAAACAATGGCGCTTAATTATTTACTAGCTCCCCCTCCAATTTAGCCACCACTGGCGACTGCCTCGCTTGTGTTCGTTGCCGCTACACCACGGTTATTTCTATAGCTCGTATCACCTCCGAACTAACGAGTTCGGAAACTGCGCTAACACTGGCAACTGGATTGTTGGAAGCCCTTGTTTTCCCCTGACTGTCGTATACTTGTATGAGCCAACTAATCAACCAGCCTTTCCCTTTTTATTGTTGACATTTGGTGAGCTAATCTGCCCATTTTCCAGGGCATGTTGTTGATAAAGCTAAGAAATGATGATTATGATTGGTTCCTCCCTTCTACAGGGAGGCAGCAATTGGGACACGCTGGGAAAATTTCACAGAACATTTTCTCCAGACTAGTTCCCATAACTTCTATCTTTTCGGTGATGCGGACCCGTTGGTTTGTCGAAACGCTCTGTCGATTCTCAAAACTGCACCATTTCTCTTACTCTTGGGTAAGTTGAAAATTGTTCCGTACTTGCGAAAATTTAGCCATGCCATACACTTGCCTATTTTCACACGTACCTCCAGTTTTTGTTTACCAGCCGCAGAATAAGATCGGGTCCGTCATTGTTTCTTGTTATAATCCTGGTCACTAGTTAATAATCCTACCGGATGATTTTGTGCTACTAGACTAAAAGCTATCACCCTAACCTGCTAGTTGCTTTATGGTCTGGCACGCCATACTGGTTGGATTCCCCTTTACGAGGCCTGACTCTACCAGGAAGTCCTGAGAGGAGCGACAGACAAACACCAGTGAGCCTCCATACAATGAGTAAAAAATCAGCTGTGGCACCGTTCGTTACATAACTGCCATGCAACTCGAGACAAGGACGAGGGCTGAGATACTGCTAAGTTGCCTAGACAACAGCGATCGGCAAGCCGGGATGGGATTAGAACCATGGGTGTTCTGTTAAGCAGTTTGGCCCCTTAACCACTGACCTACGGATAATTATATTAGGAGGCCGCTTTGGCGATACAGTCATACAGTCCTGTGCTATAGGAGTGTGGGATGTTTCTGTCAGGCGACTTGCTTGTCCATATTTATGGAAGCAGAGGTGTTTTCCTCTCTCAAGAACCGAACAACTCAATCGCCAACCGATTGACCGTGACCCCCAACTTACAGCCGGAATACATTTTGAACTCACCAAAAGCCCGATGCGGGTACAAATGCACTTTCGGTGCGCATGTACACACCAAGGTACCTTCATGTCACATGGGCTGTCGAACGGTGACCTTATCTGAGTCGCCTTGTTCGCTGCACACAGCGGTTCGGATAGACAAAAACGTGCAGCCGAATCAGGGCGGTTCATTTTCAGCCACGTTGAAAGAAGGCAGCCAAACTCTAGCAGCCTACCTCCAAGTACCACATTTGGAAAGAAAAAATCAGCTGCAGAATGGAGCATCTCGACGATGATCCCAATGGTCAAACTATCGTGGTGTTATCATTGCAGTTACGGCGTTCAAGATACTCTCTTGTTTTATCCTTTGTAGGATGGTTGGACACAGCAAGATTTGTCCGTGGAAGTCCTGTAATGGAGTAGAAATATCACGCTTTCGGAATACTGTTTCCAGAAACCGATAGTGATAATGCTGCTTGGTTTGAAAACTGTCTTTGCCTCTGTTGATAATCGGGTACTATGACAATGTATGTGAATGTACTTAATGAATTCTTGGCTTTCCCGAAGGTGCAGTACGACAACTGAGGATGCATATGCTTTGGCCCGCATTCAGTGGTGTCACACAAGGCTGTTGCCCATTCCCTTTTTCCTCCACTTTGCAATCGATTCGACCATGGGAGATCTGCTCCCAGCTTTTGATGATCGTGAAGTCAAAATACTACAAGGTGATTCTGGACTACGTCGAAATGGAAAGATTACTAAATAACTTAAATAATCCCGTCTCACGATCTGGTGTGCTTTCTGTACAAGTGAAGTGTAAAAGGAGCATTATATTACAGACCACTCTCTTTCCAGGACATTCCAACCCGAACACCTTATCCCATCGTTGGTGTATCGAACGCAAGGTGTAATTGGTCCCCTGGAACGTATTTCAGAGGAGACTGTCTTACGAAAAAAACACTTTTTGTCAGTCCCTTGAGGCGGTCCATCCGGGAATAGATAACTGTATTAATGGATGATGGCTGCATTCGGTCTTAAGAAGTACTGATGGGTACATTCTCCAGTGTCAATGGTCTATTGGTCCGGAAGTTATCTCGCACACCCATCCCATTTTTAATTAGGAATCATACCCATATTGTGGTTCATATCTCTTGTAATACTCTTGTAATTGGATCTGATACAAAGAGGAATCCGAAGGGCTCCTTATTTGGGTGGAAGTAACTCGCAATTCGTCATAGAGAACGGACAATATTATGGCACCATGATCACGGTTGTTTCCAGAACCTCTGCATGGTGAATTACAGACAAACGTGCTCTCGAATTTCTTGCTTGCCATCGATTGCCGTGCGTCTCTTTTCATCACAGGTATGCACCACGGGACAACAGTCCTAGTGAAACTAGGGGAATCGGCAATTGCTCGTCGACAGTATGCGTATTGCTGCTCAAACTCGGCGTCATACGAGAATGGTGCCACAGTACCGCCGACCTGGTCGACAACCTGCAACGTCGCAATACCGCCAGCGCAGTATCCTTGTTGAACACTGATGTCATGCTGTCGACGATGACAGATGTCACTGCCAGCGCAGTTTCCTTGTTGAACACTGATGTCATGCTGTCGACGATGACGAGATGTCACTGTGCATGAGCTTCATACCCGTATGAACGGGTAATTTTTAAAATAAAGGCACAATGATTGGTTAATTCCAGTTTTCTGGTCCGTGCCTGAATTTAAATGAAAAAGATTTATTGGCCCGAATCGGAGAACATTCTAGGGTGAACATCGAGTTATTTGTTTCGTTTGAATACATGATTGAGCAAGGCTACAACCTCACCTATACACCTTTTTACGCTTCTCGCTAGCACACTTACATAAGTGAGTACTTTTGTCAAAGTGCTTTCTCACGCATATCCTCACCATTTCATCCTATAATAGAGCTTGGATAATGCTCATCAACATTTACGGTTGAGCTTCAAAGTCACTGTTTTTCAGCGCACACCTCAACATCCATTGCCTCACTGCACGCACCAAAGACAGACCAGTGAACAAGTCGCTGTGGGCTCAGTGACACTCAGATGTTCACTCATGTATTATTTCGGGAAGACTGCAACCCCTCATTTGGTTTTGAACTGGAACGGCTTTCCTCTTGATAGGGGACTTTCACATGGTTGTGGAATTAGCTCTCCTACGAGCCATAAACGGCAGGCCTTCCATCATCGCCTACAATTGATCCGTATTGTCCTCCGCGGAATTTGTTCTAGCCATCCTTGTCACGAAAAGACTGGACCTTATCGGGGTGTGATGGTTCGCGCATTTCTGCGACCCACTGAGCTATACTGGGTGGTGTCCCCCTCACACTGTCAATTGCCAGAGGTCTGACAAACAGTCTCCTGGTCCTCCGGGTTGTCATCACCATCATCATCATCGACAGCATGACATCAGTATTCAACACCGATGCTTCACTGCCGTATCCTCCAGGTTGGGGGTTTGAACATATGGCGACCTGTTCCGTATAAATGGTAAGGCATTTGCATTTCCCTCCAAACACCGCGGCCTTGTGGTCAGGCTTTTGAGCCAAACTTTGGTTGAGGACCCTAATCGTCCTCCTGCCTAGGTGTGGGCGACCTGACAGTATCCCAGCCCACGTACAACCGTGAACTGCATACGTACAAATGAATTCATGCCACAGCAGCCATCGCGTGGTGCCATTAGCCGGGTCGCCTTACTTGTTCCATACAGCAGGGCGGATAAGAAAAAAAAACAGACTACTGTTGACGTCTCCCTCTCTCTTTCACGCGCTTTTTCTTCCTCCTCTCCCCTTCCCATTAATGACTCTCCTCTCGTAGGCCCAGAACTTAGGGCTGATGACGCCGTTCGTCATGCATCTGCTCGTCACATGGCGCCGACATCCTCAGGTATCTCCAAATCAGTCTTCAAGCCTCGACACCAAGTCTATCTGGCCGCGTTCAATGTCCGCACTCTGAAGCAAGCAGGACAACAAGCTGTTCGTTCACTCATACTGGACTCGCTTGGTATTGATGTGTGCTGTAACTCAGAAACGAGAATTTAAGATTCAAGCACAGTGGTTGAGCTGACCGCTCGGCCGGTCTCCACTCGCTTCCGGCTACACCCATACAACCCAGACAATTGAGGAGAGTCGGTGATAGTGTCCATTTTCAAAAAAGGGGCGCGTAATGAGCGGTAACCACACGGGGATCAGCTTGATTCCGTTCATAACGAGACTGTTGGCGTCGCTTGTGCTTCATCGCCTTACGGTGGCTCGTTAGTCACTGACTCGAGAGCAACAAGGGGGATTCTGGCCTGGTAGGGGTTGCGTTGACCAAGTCTTCACACTCCGTCAAGTGCTACAACAACGTCATAGGTATAACTGATTCGCTTTTCTAGTACTCCTGGATTTCCAAAGCGCATTCTACTCGGTTGATCGGTCTGTTCTTGACACGCTTGCCCATCAAAGAATGCCACGGAAGTTTGTGAACATGAAACGTTCTTTGTATTCTCAGACTTCCCGACGGAGCGCCTTCCAAAAGCTTCCGTACACAAAGCGGTTTCCGTCAGGGATGTTTACTCTCTCCATTCCATTTTAACTTTGTGATCGATGAGATAATGAGACGAACGCTGGAGGGTCTCCAAAACCCTGTATTCACATAACCTGTGAAGAAAATCTTTTCGATCTGGAGTACGCAGACGACATTATTGTCATTGTTGGACGGGAGGAGAAGGCGCAGGTGTTTTGGATGAACTGATCAAAGTCATCCTTTCACTGGGCATGCTCTTTGCACCCACAAAGTGTAAGGTCATGCTTGTGGACGTGCAGTCACTGAACGCGCTACTCAAAATCCAGGGAGAGGTACTGGAGTTGGTGAAGCGCTTTACGTATCTTGGAAGTTGTATTAGTTCTGCTTGTAGCGTGATAGATGAGGTGAATGCACGAATCTGCAAGGCTCGGGCCGCGTTTGCTAACTTGAGACACCTATGGCGTCAGAATGGTTTATCCCTGAATCTCAAGGGACATGTGTATCAAGCTACAGTACGGGCTGTTTTGTTGTATGGCTGTAAGAATTGGCCTGTTCGACAATCGTTGTTTCAGAATCACAGCTCGTGTGCATTGGTGTCGGCGAATCCGTAACGAGGCAATTAGAAAGCAAGTTTTCGGTTATGCAACGGGAAATTCCATTCAAGAGCGTGTCCAGCACAGAAGCTGCGTTGGTTGGGGCGTGTGTTGCGTATGCTTAACCATCGTTTGCCGAAGAGAGTGCTGTTTTCCATGGCCAATTCAGAGTGGCGTAAACAAAGAGGTGGCCAACCTTTGACTAGGCAGAGGAGTATGAAGGAGATCACGAAACGCTTGGGTGCTGTCGGTGCTACTCGCTTTCCAGAATGAGATCGCGCGATCCCCACTGTGCCTGGCCGGAGACATTACAATATATGGCTGCCAACCGATGTTAGTGGCATTCTTGTCAGTTTCTATCCAGAATTCCTGAGTGAATGTCTAGAGATATAGGCACCTCGGAATGATTGTGGTAAGCTAGCACTAAGTCCCTCCCCCATCCACCTTTACTCTTTTCTTTCCAATAGGGTCTTCAAATAAATCATGGTTGTACGGCAGTGAAGCATCGGTGTTGAACACTGATGTCATGCTGTCGATGATGATGATGATCCTTGTTGGCTTAACTATTCAAATCAGAAGATATACACACAGTATTGCTGTGGCTGTTCATCTATTAGGGCATCGTAGTTCATTTCAGTCTATCTGCCGGCTTACTTCTTCGTTCCACCCCTTTGTATAACTCTAGGTGGTGTGGTCCAGCACCGTATAATGACCGCGAATCAGCTTCAAGAATACGCCGGTTTGGCTTCGTCTGGCGGATTAGATGGCGCTCGCGGTCGCCTCCTGGGATTACTAGGTTGCAAAAGCCAAGAATTACTGAGCACTATGACAAGACACCAGACAGATATAGTTTTTGGCTTGCATCAGCTGGGCTGCTCTGCTGCCAGAGAAAATTGAACAGTTCGCATGGACCCTGGGTGCACATCATGGATTTCTGTTGCCTGCTTCTCCCCAGTGCAATACAACAGAATTGTGTGCTGTAAATATACCTGTAAAAACAATACACGATTCCCAGCCTTTCAACGTCGTTCTCTCTCTCTATTCATGTTTTCTGTATTATTTTGATTACAAGACGTAGCTCGATAACTGATTTGTGCATCGAAAAGTTTTCTGATCTTCACAGTGTTTTCTGGAGGTTTCGGAAACTATTTGCGAAGCTGAGGCCGTCGAACGTGCAAGGCTTCAACCCCGTTTAGCACATCCCTTGGGAAATTTGTAACAGTCTTGGCAGCAGACCCAAGGTTTAAATTTCCCTAGCCCCCAACTTTTAGCCTGTAGTCATCAATTTTTGGACTGTTTTCAGACAACTTGGTGTTCAAATACAGATTAGGAGTTATCCATCTAATCGTACTTGGGGAATCTCGTAAACTTTCATTTCAAAAATGTTTGTGCAAATATGAATTAGACGTCAGGTGTTAGTGTTTTTTGGTTTGATTTTTTGCCGAGCTATCCTGTTTTCAAAATTCAGGATTACGCATTTCATGAGTTCCTCAACAAGCTGCTTTCAAAAGCACCGGAACAACGTGTGTGCACTGTTTAGCTCGGCTGCCTTTAAGGCAACCAACAACAATATATGTATTCTAGGTGTGTCGCGGATCCTCGGCTTGAGCCCACACGTACGCTCAGCTATAATTAAAGCAAAGTTCGTGAGGCGCGCCCTTGTGGCAATTCTTGATAAGAATGAAGTAGCTGTTAACTAATTATTTACTTTTCAGAATAGGCCGACAAGGTTTGAGAGAAGCATTGTTTGTGAACGCATCCACTCGAGTGTAATTACACTTGAGCTAATGGTTCTGGGGCATATATGTTGATTGCTTTTTTCCGCATCAGGAAACGAAAGTTGCTTGAAATGGAGCACTGCGGCTGAGATTCTTGTTCCTTGTTCTCAATGCTACCAAGCAGCTGCTGAGGCCGGCGTTTGGAGCGTGCACTTGGTCCTCCAGGACGTTATGCCTCATTCTAGGCTTACAGCTTGAGCAACTAAGGCCAGATCTGTAATATTCGTTCCTACCGTCGTCCATTTGGCGAATGCATTACTCCTGGAAATCTCAATTGGACTTGGTTGTGACGAGGATGATCTACATCCCATCAACCGAGTGAGATAAATTGAACTTAATCTAGCATTTAGTGGGTAAAACATACCTATCAGTCAACCACGAGTCAAAAGAGCAGCCATAAGACCTTCTGGTGTTAGATGGTTCAGTATTTGAATGAAAGAAACGTTCTGTTGTTATTCTGCTCCGTGCTAAGCTTTCCACATATTCTAGCCAACTTCCTATCCTGGATTGAATTTAGTATGCAATGAATACGAACCTGTCAGGAGGGGTTGAAAAAATAAAACAGTTGCGTGGCGTACCAAATGCAACATTCAAGAAACACGAGAATTGTTGGCGAGTACACTGACTCTCTTTTATGGAGATTCCTTCACACGTGAGCGGACATACAAGGATTCGTTCTTTTCCAAACATGGTGCACATAGTTTAGGAATACCAGAACATCTATAAGGTTCAACCGAGCAATCAAGCGTTGTAACAGCTCCAAATGGTAACGTTCAGTGCTTGAGAACGTCGGTGTTTGGTCCAAACCCATTGTGCTTTGTCGCGGCATTTACATCGCTGTCTAGTCTTGGGCGACCTGGCAGCACTCCAGCTCTTGTGCTTTTTTCGGGTGGCATGACAGCTAGGCACCGAACAGCTTTTAAAACGAATATCTTCATTACTACCATCCCTCATCAGTTGGAGCTACCTGCGTTTTCAGTCGCACACCAGGGTAGCTTCATATCGCTTTGTGTTATTGGCTCCTAGTCGAAACGTTGTGAACCCGATTGAAGTTACGTGAAAGCAGTAAGTCCTATATTCGCTGTGTAGACACCGGCATTTTCACTATGAACGGAAAACATCAAACCACGGATGTGAAAGTCAATTGTCTTTTCGCGCAAACCATGGGTGCTGAAAAATGTCACGCACTCTAGGTGGACCGGTTGAAACCTCTAAGACATACTAGTATGAGATGACCTGAAAAGTGGTCGACTAGTTTTCTCGATTTCTCTTGTCTTGAGAGCAAATATAATGTGTACGTGTTTGAAAAATGTCTAGGCACTCAGCCCTAGGTCCTGGACAGGTGAGTTAGGTATAGCTCGTGTTACTTTGGCCGTGATATCTACCAGGATAATGGCATGAGCTACGAGTTCATGGGACACATTGGTAACAGTGTCTAGTATAGGTCACTTGTGTAGCTACTGTATGTAGTTTCGTAAGATACCGAGGTGAATGCTCGGAAGCCCTAAACTGTGATGGTGAAGCGTAGTGGTACTACATTTGTACTTTAATCGATCCATCCTTCGATCAACTGTCTCATTATCAAGCAATAACATTATTCTAATACAAGGTTTCGGTTCATCATTTTTTCTTCGGGTTGCCTGTTTTAGGGTGTCCCTATTTTGACTCCAACATAGTTTTGAGGCTGCTACGAACCTCTGCCAGCAAAGCAGCTGTACACATGATTTGCAGTTCACATGAGCCTGGTTTTCATACCCATTTTCGGCGTTCATTTTAGTTTTTTGTGGACCATGAACTCAGAAGAACCACATTCCTCTCAGTAGCTAACTACGACTATCCTCCTAATACAGGCCATCAACGAGAAAGGTGTTTGCGGTCTGGCTTTGAAACCGTGGCTACGGCACACAAGAAAGTAGTTACTCTTCGGGGATTCACTCTGCAGGCACTATCTCATAGCAATAGCTAAAGAGGCGATCTCTTCTGAAGGTTAATTTGCCTGAAGGGAGATTCAAGTGTGTAGAACTTGTGTTCAAAGCTTGAATGAAAATACAGTACTGTCACGTGAAATCACCCCCACCGGATGATCGCTTATGTGACCGGGTGAGTTAGTTGGTCGGGACAGAAAAAATCCTCAGCGCATAATTGATTGCTCTTTCCACAGTTTGTCGGACCACAAGACTGCGATACTCCTTGGACGTGTTTGTATCTGGAACTAGTTTATTGGGTGTTTAGTATGGTACTGCTAACTTCAGCTGTATGACCCAATACAAAATTTGTGAAATTGCTCCTAGTCAGATTTCGATCATGTGCTTACGTTATCGATTACGCGAATGTTCGTCGGTTCGACGGGCTTGAAAACAACCGGGGAGAGATCATCCGAATGTGCAGTGACGATATCTGTTCAAGTGGTTCGCAAACGGATTGGACAAACCTATCACTGGTCACGTGATCAACAGCCAGCAAATGCCCCCGAGCTACTAACATTTCGATATATTTCTGACGTGAATATTAACTCTTCATTTGGACTTGCCGAACCACTTTACTTCTGTGAAGCGTCCTGTAGGTTCACGTACTTAGCTCGCATGATGTCTTGAAAAGGTTTATCCTTCAGGAACTAGATTTGGTACGTTTCTTTTCAGCTGGACAATGTTGCCTCATTTTTTACGATGAGGGTAACAAATCTGCTAAATCTGAGAAGAGCAGTGACGGTGTTTTCATTTCGTTCTTACGGGAAGTTTACCACCCCACAAGAAAATTTCGCCAATGAGTTAGACGCCTTGGAGACGCTAGCCAAACACAGTCGCGTTCAGTTGCAGCTGTGCACGCTTCACCCTGATATTCGGGCACAATTTTTCCCAAAATCGAAGGAAGATGCCATAGTACTGTCTTCGGATATTCTGAGAAAGATTGTCAGAGACACTGATTCTGTGATCGTATTGGTACGTTCTTTAATTCTATGAGTCTAACTGATGTGCGCAATTAATAATTGTGTATTTAAAAGAACCAAGGAAACGCATGTTTTTGCCCGGTCTAACACGTGACCCGCGACTTCCTTGGCTTGGGCAACCTGGCACTATTCATGCACTCGTGCTTCCTTCGGGTTGCATGGCAGCTAAACACCGAAAGGATACTACAGCTGAACGATTATTGTGTATTATCGTTACTAGTGAATAACTCGGAATTTGTGAATTGAACTCTCCCTCTGAATGCATGAACTGCTGCTGCACTGTTTCCGAACAAGAATGAAACAATTGTGCTGTGCTTTGAGGCTTTTTAGCATAGGTTGACTTGACTTACAGAGGAAGAAATCTCCAGTAAAAATCCTCGGATCTCCTCATACTATCCTCATGTAGAGCGTGATAGTTGGTTGGTCATGAGTTTAAGCTTTTACCAGTGCTAATTGCGAAGTCGTTCAGCTGTAGCACTTTTTCGGTCCCTAGCTGACATGCCACCCGAAGGAAGCACGAGGGTTGGTTACCAGGTTGCCTAAGCCCAGACAGGGGACGTCGAGCTGCGGAGATCGGTTTCGAACCACGGACCTTCCGGTCAGCAAATTCGCTCTCTAGCCACTCAGCCATCTCGCCCTTAATATTTGCGAAGACGGAGTGGTTGGTCCTGGAGCAGCAATGCAGGACGGACCACCCTTGCGCTGTAGTCTGAGAAAACGCCTTATATACCTAACTAAGCTGAATGTATCATGATTGTGCCAAGACGCGCTCAAATGACTGAATGGTAAATTGGCGATACAGTCAAAACTTCATACAGCGGCCAACCTCAGATTCCTACTGACAGTATTGGTTCCCTTTAATTTTTACGGGTAACAGTTGGCGTGGACTTGTCTCCACCTCAGCAAATACACTGTCCCATCTTCATTAGCCCCTCATGAATGATTTGGATCGTGTCAGTGCTGCTTGCATCGCACACAATTTTCGGGTTAATCCGTTCCTCCTAAATGAAAGAATATTGGCCGACCGGTTCACGTTGGTAGAATGTCTTTTGTAGTAATCTCAAGGGGCACGGGGAACGAACATGGTGGACCGGCTTTCAAACATCTGTTTCCAAATGTAGGGAGGCATTCACGGGTAGGATGGAAATACTCATCCCTTACCGAAAGCCTTTTTTAAGTTGTACAGAGGGTTTGATCTTCTCCACGTTGAAGGTCTATGCGCCCGTCGCTGCCACAGTACGATAATGAGGTCTTATGCTTCACTGCTATTTTCTCGACTGTCAGTTCACGAAGCAAAATACATGGATTCCTGTAGCCCGTCAGCGCTCTTAAAAGTAGCCTATCATTAAGCTAGAAATGTTTTGTATGCGCAGAAAGCAGGCTACTCGCCATACTCCCATCCCGGACAATATTGCAGATCTAAACCTATTGAATAAACCCATTAGCGAAGAAGACATTTTGCGGTCTTCGTCTCATCCAAAGTGGCCTGCCTCTCCCTATTACACTCCGCACTTTTGAGATGGTTGTGGGTAGTCTGTTAACAGCATCAGCTTTTTTGATTCCGAATAGTATATAAAAATATTAGAACTTTCTTACGGATCTAGATACACTGGAAGGTCCGAAAATCCACATTCGTGGATTCTGACGTATCCGTCAACGCACCTCACATTAATCTTTGGAAGCAGCAGAGGAGACGGTGGCTGGACACAGACTTGTTGTGGTGGCTACCAACTGTAGGAATTCACGGAAATCGCCGGGTCCCCCCAAAAATATCAGTGTAGAGGAGTCATCTCTGTATGGAGATGTGGGGAAATGGGCTCTGTTGTAACACGCTGCTCATAAGGTTGCTGAAAACTCTTCGACAGTCCACGTTCGACGTCACCCTTCTCGGGGCTCATTAGGTAGATGCTGTCCCCGAGTTTCCGTCAAACTGACGCTCCACTTGAACCCAAATCGCACGAAATTCCACTAATACCCACACTCATGTTGCCATAATCGGGGACACCTGGAGAACCGCTGAATGTCTTGTTTATGATGTCACCTCAAATATCATACGAACTGAAACATGAGACGACTTGTTGCGGCCCATTCAGTCGAAGAACATCACAAGCCAGAGACTCACTTGGGATTTGGGTGCGTCCCCTGTAAAAACCAAATTCATATGCAAATGAGCGTGATAGTCAGACTTCTTCGTACCTAGTCTCATTGCAACTGTTTGATCGGCTTACGATTCATTACCTTTCCGGAGTGAGGTCGTTGATCACTTAGTTTTAACAGAAGCTATCATCTTTTAATTGAGCCAATATCATTTTACAGCATCTCACAAGCGTGCCTTGTGTTTTAATCGACCTCACCCGGTTTGTCACAAGTTGGTCGTGTTCTTGTCTGTCCATTTTTATTAACAGGTCGACGGAGCGAAAGACGTCCCCATCTTCTCGCTTACTCCAAAGTCGTCGGATGACGAGTCTCATAACAACTTGTTTCACAAACTGGGCATTAAACTGGCCAAAGGTGAACGTGCGAAAACACTTCGTCTCCGTGTCAACATAGATGATCACATGTTATCAATTCGCATCAAACAGGCGGAGTCGTTCATCCGTTCTGGATATGTGGTTGTCGTATTGATAAAACTCCCGAAACACCGTATCGTGACAAACCCATCTGATGAGGAGGGAAAGCGACTAAACAAGGTAATATCACCCGTTTTTCCTACTATCGGGCAGTTTTATCGTACTCTAACGGGTTTAAAATACAGCTTTTCATCGCAAGATTCGGCGTGTGTACTTGGCTGACAAGTACTAATCCAGCGTCTAGAAAACAAGGCGGTGTACTACTTAGAGTGTTGTACAATGTAAGGAAGTGTTACTGTTACCCCATGCAGCCGTACGCCTTGCACTATACCTCTGATGATAAACCAAAGATGGGGACTAGTTTTCCTGGAGAGACTTAACTGAATCTCTCGTTTATGATCTACAAATGAATGTGGTGCACACAGGCAGCCTCATGATTCAGTCGGCACGATATTCGAGATATCGCAGTATATTTCCGTTTGAAAAACAGTNAGTTCAAGTAGAACATAAGGTTGACAGAAACTCGGGGGCTGCGCCTACCCGATGAGCCCCAAGAAGGGTGAAACCGGTCGTGGGCTGTCGAAGAGTTTTCAGCAATCTTGTGAGTAGTTTCCTTCATGGGGACTAGTTGTTAAATTGCACCCACGTATGAAACTTTAAACCAATATCTGGCAATGTAACTGACTTGTTAATTTTGAAGTCACTTATTACGAAGTGATCGTACCACTGTTCTCAACTCATTAGAACCCCTCGGCTATCGATTGACTGACTCATAACCAGACAGGTGGTCGGACGTAGGAACCGAATAGTGGCTTAGTTGGTCTCTTCAGTCCATTGGTTGTCCAGTGTTTTGAACTCCTTGATGTTATGGTTTCAAAGATTCGCTAAAGTACACCGTGCTCATACGTAGTAATGTATGTTGTGTTCAAAGACTGCGCCCGGTCCGTACGCGTGGCCACCTTTGCATGTCTACTCAAAGTTCGGCTGGCCAACAGACCAGTCAATTTAAGCTAATAACTATGACCACGTGTCCGTGTTGCTGTTGTGATAAAGTCTACTGATACGACGTCTGGTCACTGACCTCAAAAAATGTAAGGGAACGGAAAGCCACACGTCCAAATGGTCCAACCGAGAGCTAACATTCTCCTACTAACCAGTGTCAGCCGCTCTCTCGTCCAAATCGCACTAGTTGTTGTGAAGTTGCCCTTGATTTGTTGGACGTAATATGTTAGCAACTAGTAATGTCATTGGGACGTGAAAAAAATTGAGTGAGATGATCACAATTCAGGGAAACATGGGATGACTGAATCAAGCTAGGCTACATGCCCCTGGTCGGAGTATGTCCGGTATTGCCAGGGCATACGTTGCCTCCGGGGACACTTAATTTTGAGACGAAACAGGATTTGTTATAGGTTAGTATAAACACGTAGGTCATCCTTTTTGTTGAGTAGTAAAGATAGACCATATACCTACCATTTTTAGAACAGTACGTGACAACCTGTTATGCTGTGCCTTGTTTGTTTATATTTCAGCTCGCGTACGATGTTGACACACAAAGGTTTGTCACGGCCTTTTCCGCAGTCCCAGACGCTTCGATGCACCTGATGGAACGTTCCAAATCAACTGAAATTCTGTTTTTATTGCGGCCTTGCGAGTCCAAGTGATCCCAGAATTTGCCACTCCAGTTTGTACATGCCTAGACCCCTAGCCCATATTTGTCCAATGCGCTCCAAATAAGATGCTTACTTTCTCTCCCGTAAAATGCAGCTTTTAATCATTGGGATGCTATGATTTTTTACCGCATTACAGATACCCGTCTATCTTTCCATTACATCGCCACTGTTGAAATTACTTCACGGACCAGTTCGTCAGTCTAGGCTGGCTTCCTAATGCTTATCATCATCAAATCCGTAACGAACTGAGGGCCATTCGTCCATGGGATACACTAGGTCTGTAGCTTATTGTGGTTGCCAAATTCTGACCACTTCATATACCCAGTGACTTAAGCATGGGACCACGGCATCCAACCAGAATAGTGCTGTTCTGGCTACGGACGTGCATTGCCAACATCCAGTACAAACAGGTCCTCCTTGGGGGATTCTGGGCGAGATGGCCTGAGTGGTTAGATCGCGAATTTACTGACCGGAAGGTCCGTGGTTCGAATCCGACTTCCGCCTCTTGACTTCCCCTGTCTAGGCTTGGGTAACCTGGCAGTATCCCAACCCTCGTGCTTCCTTCGGGTGGCATGGCGGTTAGGCACCGGAAGGGTGCTACAGCTGAACGCTTTTTTTGGAGGGGGGATCCTCAGTTCACGATGCAACCAGGCGAAAATGATCATAAAAACTAGTCGTAAGAAAACTATTAGACCAATGCACCCAGCCTAATGAATGTGCGTCAAGCTGAAATGCACCGTCGCTATCACAATAAGTGGGCAGCCAATATCCTCGTTTTATAAGAGCCAGAGGCTGGGCTTCTACTGGGATAGGAAAGTAGACCGAAATTGAATGAAAAAGAGTCCATATCTTAGCAGCGGGGTATACGAAAGTTCACGGTGCGTTTCCAGAGAAGGTGAGAAAACTGGAGATTAATTAAGTAACGGCATATACCCATTAATCACAATCATTTAGTGGTGCGCGGTATTCATCTATCGAGTCTGGCCTTTCAGAGAACAAATGAGTCGACAGATGCTAAGACTTAGCTCTAGACTCTCCACCCAATTTACCGGCCGAGAAAAGTCAGAGGTTCCGTCCAACTCCACGGCAAAACTCCACATGAAGTAGCCCTGAAACACCATAGGCACCATTACTGGGCGAAGTATTTTTCATTAAAATACCAAACGCCTCCGGATTTGCACTCGAATTTGACGGATGGTTAGATTCCCAGCTCAGCTTCTCTTTCGCTCGACACACCAAACGTTTGAGCGTCTGTAGGTTAGGTTCTTCGAATTTCCCAGCTCAGCTTCTCTTCCGCTCGACACACCAAACGTTTGAGCGTCTGCATATACCTTGATTCGGTACCCGCGGCAGTAATCTAGCCAGCAACTACCAAGTTTACGGTAATTTTACCTGTAATTCAGGTATAACAGATGACTCAATATGCTTTTCATGGTCGTCTTTACCTTTAACGAGTTTCGTAATCTTCCTTGAATGTAATCATCACCGGAGACGGGTTTTCCGATCTCCACTGAGGTGTATTCACCGTCATTGTTGTACCAAATCGTAGTAAATTGCACAGAACGAACGGAGGTTTACACCGGTCACCTTGTTTGGGAAAACGTTCAACGGATTTTGAGCGAGGTTGTCTCACAGTATGTGGTCTGTAACTCACTGGATTTCTGTCATTACTAGAATGGTCGGTCGTCCGCGGAAAAACTAATAGTTACTTTTAGCGAATATACACTCATTTGCAAACTAATTTGGCTTTTCCAGATACTCACCTGGAACCTAGCTGAATCTCTCGTTTGTGATGTTTTCAGGCAACTGAATGAGCTGCACCAGACCGCCCCATGTTTTAGTCGCTACGACGGGCTGTCGACGGATTTTCAGCTACAAAGATATAATAGTTACTTTGTCAGCGGAACAACATGCGCAAACTCCAGTCGTAGTCTCTTCCGTCCCCTAGGCATTCTGCAGAATCTTTACTCACTAAATTTCAAACCTAGTCAGTGACGGAAACGCGTAACTGCGCACACGTCCATATATCAGCTTCTGCCGCAGGTTTGTATCTGCGTAACGCCTTGTTCAGTCCCAGAAGAACAACATCCGCAATGACAATCCAACTTGAACTGGCCTTATTGAAATCACTAAGGAGAAAAAGAACGTTCTACGACAAGCATGCTTCATACGAAAGATTACCGTGAATTATAGCTCACTTTTGTCCGTTGCAGTGAACGCAACACTCGTAGTATGATAACAGTTTGCCTGCCTATAAGATTTGAGGCCAAAACTGGACTACTTTGAGCAGGCTGCTCACGGTTCTTCGATGCATTCACTCGCGCCCCGTAACTCGAGCACAGAACTACCATGAAGCCTGAGCAGGTGCTTATTTGAACTCATCCGGAATGGTTCCTCTTCGTTGGATCAGTGTGGTAGTTGATCGGGAAATAACATTCGACCTGGCTACTGGTATTACAGTTGTGGCGTGAGCAGGTGATTTTATTTTGAGATGATAGAAGCAGCAAACTATATCGAAACGTCCGTGGCGTATTCTTACTATGACTGTCGGACTAGTCAGTTTCACAAAGCAGGTTCCGAAAAGCTGGCGTTTTGTTCTAACAGCGTCCGTTCACCTACATTTTACGAACATGGCGCCATGTATTCGACCAAGATGATCTGACCCATTTAGGACTGTCATGGGATCAGGAGAAAGTGCATACCGTTGGCCCAATTGCAATGGAGTTATCCTGATGTGAAATGACTGACTGGAATACCAAACTCAAGCTTCTCAGTATGACCGGATAGCGTGGGGAACGTTCCAAACGACCCTGGTATATTTTGAGTTCAACTCAACAATCGGATACAAGGCGCTCTGTTAGCTTTTTTTAAAGATAAATTCGTGCCACACGAACAAGTAATCTCTGCGATTCCCCCAACAAAACCTTCCAAGCTAAGTGGACGTAAGGATTTTATGCATTAGAAGATGCCGCTTATGATCCAGTGGCCTTTACGTCGGAGGGTAGCGGCTTCAGTCAGTGAATAAGTCCCAGCCAACTTGAAAAAGACAAGTTTGGTATCCAACGATTATACTTGACTATCATTCCTAAGAAGTTAGTCTACAAAGGGAAATAACACAACTACCAGTTCATTGGTGCGATGCACAATTATTTATATCAAACAGCCGGGATGTCTGTATCGCAGATCGATGGGACCGACCGTTTGCAAAACATGAAGTGCCAGATGTATACAGTTGGATTCGGAAAAGGTAGGAAAACTAAAATTTGTACAGTGAGGAGTTCTCTAATATACAGTAATCTCTGTAAACTGTCTGGCGCGATGGAACAAATATCACGGAGCTTGGAGCATGATCCACAAGGGGTTGATCATCGACTTGCATCTTGATTTTTGGATGCGGTATTCTTTGTTGCTTGTTCGAACTGTAGCTCTTCATCGATGCGCTCCTTCGCCCGGAAAACCTGTAGACGTTGGAAAAAGTGCGGATACATGTATACGTCAGACATTTCTGGGCGGTTTTTCGCAACAGTTCTAATAATCACGGCCTGTTACGGCGCGCGAGCTACGAAGTTTGCCCAAAAATTGAGTAACCGCACATGGTTTATGTATTCGCTACCGGATGCCATCTACTTTCTTCACAAACGGGAGAATTACCTAGGTGTTCTTTTCCGTTTCTAATTGGTTACGGTGCAATCTACAACTGACAGAACAGAATGGGTAGTTTCAAGTACTTAGTCAGGCGATTAAAGTTCTACGCCCCATTTGGTGAATTACGACACCAAAACTCGTCAAGTCAAGATTGCACCAAAGTTCAGTGCATACAACACGTAGGCGTTATCGTCAGCGCGAAGGACAACTGTTAGGGATTGATAGTATTGCGAGGGGATGTAATTTCCAAGTGAGAATTCGTCCTGTAAGTGGAGTTAATCTATGCTGAAAAGTGTAGAGTCACTGTACAACGAATCATAACGTGGTTTCTATAACTGAAGGATGAGTGGCGCTATATACTGTCTAAGTGCAATTTAACCACATTGCTGAACAGCCGCTCATGACCGAAACGGTAAGTGTTCAGAACATTAGCCGGAAGAACAGGGTTCGAAACTCCCCTGAGATTCGTCAGATGCTTACTGCCGGTGATCTCAAATTGGGATGAAACAGATGTATTGCTTCGCGGATTTTCAGCATAAATTGACAAAATCTCAACTGGTGAAGCCTAACAGCTTTAAAATGATAATAGCAACCGAACATCGGATCTGAAAACAATTATCTATTCTGTGTAGCAAATAACAGTTGGAACAATAGCAACACATTCGGTATTCAAGCAGGGGACATTTCCAGCCATTTACAGAGAGAATCACTATGCATACATCCTAGAGAGTTATTTGCGCGAATATGCGATCTGAAAACACAAAAGAAAAAGGAATGGAAACGGTATGATAGAATGACCACGTAACCGTTATTGTCGTCGATAACCGCGATAAAATCTAACCATGTAGACCAAGTGTTAGAATGACCGCTCTCTCGCACCATGAAGCCTTCATTGGATGCTTCTAGCGATTTACAACAATTTGCGTACAAACCGCCTGGTTTCACCACAGATGCACTAGCCCGTTCCCATCACAATTATGAAGAATTCAGAACAATGCTTCGGGGTGTGCTTTATGGACTTTAACGGTGCCTTCGACTCGGTCGACGGAAAACTGTTGCCGCGTAAATTTCCAGGATGAACATCGAAAAGCGTATTCTGTCCCTCGCACAGCTATTTTACTGACCGAATCGTTCAGCTGTAGCAACCTTCCGAAGGAAGCACGAGGGCTGGGATACTGCCAGGTTGCCCAAGCCTAGACAGGGGAAGTCGAGAGGTAGAGGTGGGGTTCGAACCACGGACCTTCTGATCAGCAAATTCGCGCTCCTACCACTGACCGAAAACAGTACGTTCAGATTTGTGGAAGGTTGCCGAAGTCTCAAGGCATCAAATACGGTATATGTTTGGGAGCTGTTTTCACTTTGTACACAGGCGTTGAAACTTGGTGGACAGCATACTATGAAAGAATATGCGGACGGTATTAGTGTTGCTGGACATGATCTGCACCAGCGTACATCTACTGGTTGAAACAGGGCGATACACCGCATGTCAATGAACCCAAAATATCGCGGCTCAGCTACACCTAACAAATGCACTGAGACTCAAGAATGTCTTCAAGCTATTGCCTACTAATTCAAGCTGATTGCCTAAAACGTTTTAATGTTATGATCTATAGCTTGACTTAATTTGACTCCCCCTAAAATTCGGGAGTTATTCCATACGACAACCTTTTCCCCAGATATTGTCAGTTCCAGTGTACACTTGAAACTATGTTTCATGTCATCTTTTATAGTTTCTATAAAGTTTTTACCTGATTGCTGAAAAGTAGGCACGCCACCATCAAACAGTGCATTCGGGTTTAATAAGTTCAACCGACTCAGTTTATCAGCTATAAACCGTGTACCATAGGTAATTGGTTCCAGCCGCCAGGAAGTGGGAGAGCGTGGGACATACATCTAATCACTGGAGGCGATTGGATGTTTGGTTAGTTCGGGAACTGGGAACTACGCATTGAAGGTGACAGCTTTGATGAACGAACGCCACTGACTGTGCGATGGGGCCGCCTCTCCCAGCGTCATTACCCATTGGTGAGTTGAATCCAAGGGTCCCCATCAAGGGAGGCAAGAGTTGTCAGTCAGACTAAGTTTATTGATCAATGTTTTCATACTTCGTTGCCAAGTCATACACTGTCCACCTTTCGGTTGCTTCCACTCAGCACACATATCCTAATCTGCGTAACATATGAGGCGTGAGTAATTCACATACCACGGGAGAGTTCCTTCTTCCCGGGACAATCTGGCGTACCTCAACATTATTAATTCGATGTTTTCACCAAACCCGACCAACTGCTTCGGAGACACCGGTGGTCAGACACTGACATCTTTCGTATGTCCAGATGCCATGTGTCTGGTCCATAAGACTGCCGCAGTGTAAATTCTGCCTTTGACAGACAAACTGACGTCACGTCGGCGCCATAGGTATCGTAAGTTGGTAAAAGCTGCCCTGACTTTGCCGATCCGAGAAGTAATCTCATCTTCAGCCAGTCCACCGGAAGTTATACACAGGTAGACAAATTTATCTACCACGACGATTGGCTCATCTGCAAGCATGAGGTTTGGCTTTGGTACCATCCAGTCTTGTAGCAGTACTTTGCACTTCGCAGGTATGAAGTGCATACCAAACCGTGCGATAGAGTTAATTAGGTTATTTAAAATGCTTTGCATTTTGGATGGATCTGAACCAATGAGAAGAATATCGTCTGCATACTCAATGTCTGTGGGCCAAAATCCCGGGGGCATTTCGACTCCCGAGGTTTCAGAGGCAGGCAGAGAAATTACAAGCAGCACGTCGACAACAAAGTTGAAGGAGAGAAGTGAGAGACGGCATCCCTGTCTTACAACACTGGACGTGGTGAACTCAGGCAAAAGCTTGGCGTATAGTCGTAAGCACCCAGAGAATTTTGCATATAGAGCCCTCATAAGGAATGTAGCTTTGGAAGAGGCACTTTTGATCACCAGTTACTGCAAAAGTATCTGATGATCGACATATTCAAAAGGAGTAGCGGTGTTCAAAAACTTGTTTCGAGTTAAAAATATAGTGGATGCGTCCTACATCAGGGCGAAACCCAGTCTGATTTACACGAATATGTCTCTCTCTATTACCGACTAACCAGAGCAACGTAATGTCAGAGGTTACCTCAGATGAGACGGATACCGTACTGATACCACGGTGATTTTCTAATGACGTTCTTGACCCTTTTTAATGACTGAGATGACCGTCCAGGAGATCCATCCGGATGGCATCCCGTTTTTCCCAAATCTTCTGCAGTACGTTTGCGAGACTGTTCACCAGGACTTCACCACCTCCTTTGGAAAGTGCAGGGTACAGACCCGCGCCAGGCACCTTGTCATGCTTGAGGATTGATATCTCACGTTGGATTTCGGTTGCTGACGGCGGCCTGGTTTTGACGTTTCGTTCAGGCGCGTTGGATGCTTTCAAGGGTTGTGTTGAAGGAGACCAGCTAAACTGTCCTTAGCCCATCTCTCAAGACGACGAAAAGGAAAGGGTGAGTTACCGTACCGCCTCTTAGCACACTGTTCCACTGATACCTGCCTTCTTTTGACAGGTTGATCAAATCAGCTGAAATAGGGAGTGGCTGTTGCCTGCAGCGAAAGCCGTCATCTTCTGGGCCTTGAAAATGCACCGGTGTTCTCTGTTATTCTTCAAGCTCCTAATTATGCGATGTTTGAGCGATCTGCAAGCGCTATTACAGTCGCTCGTTGCTGGTATGGCTTTCCTGACAGCAATAAGATCTGCTAATCTCGATGATATCCTAGGTTTATTTAGTCGAGTCGGATGCCTTTCTAGCTTTCTAGCCAGATCAGCTCGACAAGCTTCAGGTACCGAAATTTGTCGTGGTCGATGAATGGAACTATTCTGCCTTCGCAAACGTAACGCTGATGGAAAGCGATGCGGGCTCGAGGCAAGCTGCTTACCCTATAGGGAACGGCAACCTGTAATTCATGGTCTCGAAAGGTAAATGATAGCCACATGGACCACCTGAGTCCACGAGTGTCTCGAATTCGGTGGTCTGTAACTTGACGTGAGCGTTTGTGTTGGAAGTTCGTAACAGCCGGGAAAAGACGATTATTCGCACACAACTGAAGCTGTTGCTCCGCACTATCGGTACTCTGAACATGAACTCCAAATCTTCCTGGCTTAGTCGACCAACTTGAGCATTCACATTACCGGAATCCAGTCCAGTAATAGGCTTTCAGCCTTCCCGCCCGCCCAAGCCGAAGAAGGGGGTTTGGTTGAAGTGCGCCACCTTAAGCCTTTGGTCCTCAAAACAGTGGATGTCGGGTTTTGTTCGGGGACCCTGCCCCCAGCCTTTGAATCAAAAGTCTAGACTGCGGGGTAGCGGTATCCTCGGGGAACTCTCTCTGGAGTCGATGACTCAATAGTCTGATCAACTTGACTGCAGGGGGCCAGCTTGGCCAGAGGACGCAGGGAGTAAGATATTACTACCTCACTCCTAGTGCAGCTGGCATAGCAGGTGCCTTTTGACCAAAACCGGACTCGGTGGTTTCAAAAGCATTTCGATCATGTTGAATAGTACGCTGGCGGTTACGGTCAGCAGATGGGAGATCGGAGTGTGCGGTTTTTCCGGTCGACCTTATCAAACCCGTCCTTCCTGAGGATAGGTAGCAATGCTCCTCCCATGAATATGAATATGCTGGTCGTCTGTACGAATCGCCTTACTCCCTTCACACTCCCATCGCAGAGAACAGTACTTTATCTCCATAGCCCCCCGATTCGTCAGTGCGAAGACTTGCTATTCTTCATCCGGCTGCTACCATTTGGCCTTTCTGGAATGGTTGAATCTTTAAAATCTGAGTTCCAGGCAGCAAAGCCAGCAGGATTATTGCAGCACAGAAGTCTGACTGCCGCGACAAAGTCGGGTTTACTCAGCCTGAGGTAGCTGTCTCTCTAGTTTCCTGGCAGATGCCTCAATTAGGAGACACAAGAGCACATGTATAATCTTCTTAAGACAATACCAGATGACGTTTCATCCGTCACTAGTTGCTTTTTAATTTCCTGTGTGCATGTTGCTTAAATGCAGGTAAATCTTCGTGTCCCGGATGAAACCTCCGTGTCTGAAAATTCTGGTGAAATAAATAAATAAAACACCGTTTTTATATTGTCCAGCCTCCTTTTGATTGGGTGATGCAAATATGTCTGGAGTGCTAAATTTTTACCGTTATCGCCGACTGTTGTAGTCGTCTAACTCTTCAACCGCTAAGTTTGCTGTTTGTTTGTCAATTGCTACCTTGCAACAATTGAAAAGCGTTTATTGTACGATACGGTATGAGTATCTGGTACTCGGAATAATGCGTAATTATAACAACAGAGCTGTTAAGGCGACAGAAATCCAGGTCGTATAAGCATTAAAGAAAAATGCTAACGAAGCCAATGCCTAGAAATAACCCACCTTGGACTGTAAATATAAAGAACCTCCTTTCTCTTTTGCATTCACAGAGAACAGATGGTCATAGTTTTTACGAAGAGCCTCGGCGTCATGGATGTCCCTAACATTGAGGATTTGTTTGGCCTCATCGAGGGACATACCGGTGATCTGGTCAAATGTCCTCTGATTTGAAGTATCACCAGAAGCTGACTGACTTCGACGAGCATTAGCAGCCTGTTGGCTGGCTGCATATTCTTCTTTCAGGGCATGAGTGAAAGCTCGACCAAGAACACGGGCACCTGATATAATCAATTGAGCAATATACTTCGCCTGCAAAAATAAATATAAAATGGAGGTATGTGTGAAACGCAAACAGGTGTTGTTCCTGTGTAGTCTGGATTTCAACCACCTCATCCACGGTTCAAGCTATCAGAAATGTACATCATATAAATATCAGTGGATCCGAGTTTGCGGATTTTGGGTAGGGGTTGAGACTCCGAGCTGCGGACTACTGGGAGGTAACGCCATTCATCCTTGAGCCGAGTGATAAATAACACGCACACAGTGTTCATTGATTCCAAGGACGACGTCTCTGAAGGCTAAAAGTTATCATCTTGCAATGGAAAAGGTTAACCTGTGTTGTAGATTAGATATTCTCCATAAGGAACGCTGATGCGAAGCTAGCTTAAAGAGAGAGACGTGAGGTGACTGAGGTGCAGTTGCTAATGTGGATATTTGCGGCCAGTGATGGCGATGCTACTCGCCTTCCAGGATGGGGACCGCGCGATCCCCACTGTGCCTGGTTGAAGACGCTACAAGATATGGCTTCCAACCGATGTCAGTGACGTTCTTGTTACCAGTTTCTATCCAGATCGCCTGAGTGAATGTCTGGAGGTATAGACACCTCGGAATGATTGTAGTAAGACAGCACTAAGTCCCTTACCCGTCCACCTTTACTCTTTTCTTTACAATAAGGCATTCAAATAAGTCATGGTTGTACGGCAGGGAAGCATCAATGTTGAACACTGATGTCATGCTATCGATGATGATGATGCGGCCAGATGGCATGCTGTTTGGTTATTTGCCTTGCGCATAACATCCGGGTGCCAGTCATTTTTTTATTCGTGCAGACTATCTACATGCGTCTATTCAGAGTCTCTGTTGACAACTATTATTGTGTATAATTTTACGTTACTAGGTAAGATACTGTCTTTAACACCCCTGGTTTTGCCGTCAATGTATTGCATGTGGGACGAAGTAGTCATTGAGCCGTGCACGGCGCTAAGCGGAGGACGAGCTGAAAACGTTGAGCTACTGCTTAGGCATACGGATTACAACACCATTTGCGGCTTCTCAATAAATGGTGGTTATGACACCTTAAAGTCAGTGCCCATGACACAGCGTTTGGTTGAAGGGAGCTGCGTATATGCTATTTACATCAAGATGGAGGTATATCGGAACCAGCAGCAGTGGGTTAGCTTTGGTAACTGTTTAAGATTAATATGCGGTTCCCGCGACCGACCAGTACCTCGGTCGGTCAATTGGCCATGCTTATTAGGACGTCACTCGTGGTTCGTTTGAAATCACCGCGTGGGAGTAGTCATAATCATTTGTCATGTACCCACTTGCAAAGCAAATCGGTGTATAACTCCATTTACGTAGAAAATGGTGTTCATGTAAGAAATAAGACTGAAGGATTATGCCCATCAGATAAACCCCAAGCAGGGCGAAGTCAGTCACGGACTGCCAGTGGATTTTCAGCAGCCTTCCTGAAATACTTTTATCAAACAAGAAACTAGTAGTGATAGTTGGGAGGCCGGACAGTTCCAGCCGGCAAACTCAGTGGATTTTAGCAGCCTGCCTGAAAGAATACTATTAAAAAAGAAACTAGTAGTGATAGTTGGGAGGCCGGACAGTTCCAGCCGGCAAACTCGCTGCGTAGCCCGTTGGATTTTTTAACATGTATCATTGAGTCAAAATACCCATACTCATCGTTGATGGCAGCACTAGTAAGGAACACTGGTGCTTCACTGAGTGAGGGTATATATCGGGGAGAAGAAAAATGAGACGAGGGGTACTGGGGCCAACTTTAAAAAAACAACTGAGGTGAATACATCTTAAAGATCCATTCATTATCATCTTCAGGAGTAAACCGCATACACGTTCTAGTAGTTTGAACCAATGGAATGGAGCCAAAATGATAATGAGGGATAGCAACATCGGTGTTAACTACAATAATTAACCGCAATACAATCATGAAGTTCGTCTGACTATATTTACAGCCTTAGAGTGAAACGAGGACATAAAGAGTGGTGAGTAGGTAAACCATGCTTTTCATACATCATTAACGGGCAACTGTCACTCTGAATTTCCAGCTGATGTACTACCTTTATTAGATGATTAAAGCATATATCACGACCTTCTATTTAGTCTCCCTATCGGGTCATTTATGGGTTCCTCAGTTATCCCTCAAGGCGGTTGGCTTATTTCTCCGGCGGTGTCTCAGGTACTTAAACAGCACATTTGTGTTTTTCCCGCAATGTCCAGTATCGTGGATTGTTTTTGTATGTTCCATTGGCGAATTTCCGAATTAAAGCGAATTTTACGAAATGCCAGCTTGACTTTGTGCCACCTGTTACCTACCGAAAAAATATTTCAGGCCTCTCTTCTAGATGATGCCGAATCATTTAGGTAGTTTTTGGTCCATCCGACTGCGCGATGCTTCTTTTGGGGAGATCTCCTGGATGGAGTTCCAACGCGTCGGGTCTATTGGACATTTTGCAGCGGTGCTAATCAGAGCGCTTGGACTCAACATGTCGATGCACCCACCAGATACCACTCAGGCCAACTAGTATTCCTCCTGGATTTGGTCATCGCCAACGAAAGACACTTCATCGATTGGGTGCTAATTAACAGTCCACTGGGACATAGCGACCAGTGTGCTAACCTTTGATTTCACCTGCTATTGGGCCGGAAATCCAGAACCTCAAAAATGAATTCAAAACCTCTGCCGTGCAGACTACTCAGGAATGCGTACTTTTCTTGATCAAATTAAACTGAGACTAGCTTCAGTAGAAAAGCTACACAGGACCATTGCCCGAAAAGCTCAAGAGACTGACGCGATGTTCATTCCGAAAAATCCAGCACGCAGTCGGATGAACCGCAGGCTAAAAGGATTAAGCGTCTTCTGGAAGAGAGATCCAAACTATCTTTCAAAAGACTACGGGAGACAAATGAGATGGCGTTTCTTAGAATATGGAACCACTGTAAATCTGAAATCCACCAATGGAACATAGCGAAACAATCCACGACACTGGACCTCATCCTGAAAAACAAAAATGTGCTGTTTAAGTACATGAGGCATCGCCACAGAAACAAGCCAATCACGTTCTTCTTGAAGGACAGGAACGGGGAACCCATTTATGGTATCTGAAGTCTGCAGAGAACAATACGCAGACTCGTAGTCTGCTCGTGACTTCGCCACACTCAATATGGCCAAAGCGTAACCACTAACGTCCTCTAACCAACTTGGTCTTCACGGAGGAGTACATTCGACAACTCGTGCAAAAAACAAACCCGTTCTGCGTGTTGGGGCCAGACAAGGTCCATCCGAGGATCCTGAAGTAAACATCGTTCATGCTGGCGAAGCATTTCTAACTGATGTTTCATCAGTAGCTCGACGAAAACAACCTTTACTCTGCTTGGAAGAAAGCGATTGTCACGCCAATCTATAGCTGTAGCTCGGCAGCTACAGGCCAATTAGCCTGACTAGCGTACCATGCAAGGTGATGGAACGCATTCTGAAGCGGGCCATCCCAGATCACTTTACTACCAACAACCTGATATCCCCAGTTCAACATGGGATCCCCTCAAGCCGTTCTCGTCCGACAAACATGCTCGTACTTATGGGCAGCTTAACCCAAGCTACCCACAAGGGACTCATATCGGCTGCCATATTTTTTGACTTTTAGACCGAGTCGCATACGTCTCGCTGCTCCACAAGAAAGAAAAGAAAGAAAGAAAGCTTTCAGCTGTAGCACCCTATCAGTGCCTAGCTGCCATGCCACCCGAAGGAAGCACGAGGGCTGGGATACTGCCAGGTGGCCCAAGCCTAGACAGGGGAAGTCGAGAGGCGGAGGTCGGATTCGAACCACAGACCTTCCGGTCAGTAAATTGGCGCTCTTACCACTTGGGCCGTCTCGCCCCGGTGCCGGTGTCGACCGGGGTTCCTCAAGGCTCTGTTTTTGGACCACTTCTGTTTCTGACCTAGGTCAACGACCTTCCAGGCGTTATTTCACGTTCATGTCTACTTCTTGCAGACGACGTGAAATCCTGGAGTTCAAATGCCAGTGCCCTTCAATTGGGTGTAGACGCTGCAAACAGTGGCCGTTGGACAGGCACCTTCCTCTGAATGAAAAAGTGTCCTTCGGAGGAGACTCAGCGAACCCCTTTGTTGCGCTTGGTGAGAATGGACCAGAAAACATCACAAGGATAAATGTTAAAAGGGATTTGGGTATCTGACTCTCTTCAAACATGTCTTTCTCACTGAACCATGAGAAATCGGCTCAAAAGGCATTCTCCGTTCTATGGATGATTCTGGGCACTTGCATGGACTTCCGAATACTCCATGGGGTTTACGTCAGACCGTTTCTTGACTACGCCAACCAAGTTGTCTACTCAGGACGCAACCCTCATTGAGTGTGTCCAACGAGTTGCTACGAAAATGGCTGCCCGCATTAAACCCGTGGACTATGAAATGCGTCTCGCTGTGCTTGCTCGCGCTGGCAAGATTGCTGCTCCGCGTTGAGCACTTAAAGAGCAGTGCTGTACCCTTTTTGTGCTTGTGCCTTTCAGACAGCAGCCACTGAACGACAAGAACAAAACAGTCCACTGAAACTTAGGCGGTAGCCTCGATCCTCAATTCGCGAATCCCTGAACATCACGCCAGTCTCATTAATTTTCATGACCATGTATGGTCCTGTATAACTGAAGCTGGTCCGTTTACCTTGATCAAGGAGGCTACTCATTTACGGGAAGAACTTTCGAATCCACGTCAGGATCTGGATTTCTGGCCCAGCAGCAGCTGAAGCCAAACGTCAGGACACAATGGTCACCATGACCCAGTGGAGCTTCAATTAACACTTGGTCAACGGAGTAACTTCCGTTGGTGATAACTAAACCCAACAAGGATCGAGGTTGGCCTGGTGCTGGTGGGTGCGACGGTATCTTGAGTCCAAGCGTTCTGTTGAACGACTTCGGTCAGCGCCGATGCAAAATGTCCACCGGACCCGATTTACTGGGATTCCATCCAGGAGGCGTTTGGAATGTTGAATTCACCTACTAGTATGAGCCGTGTGAAGTGGTAGCTGGAGGACAGTTGCCATAGGGTGATTATCGGGAACTGGTTTTCTTCCGGTGAACTTGAAGAGCATCGGTAGACCACGCTGAGAAGAGAATCGGTCCCATACATGCTTCGATGGACTTTCTCCGTGGCAGTGATGATCTAACTAAGATTTTATTCTACCTTCCGATGCCTTAGTACCTTGCGGACGAGCCAATTGAGGTAATGCCCGGAGGACAAGCTTTTAACCACCGAACATGGGCAGCCAGAGTCATTGCGCAGCCAGAGTCATTCGCTGGCTTGCGTGCGGACGAGCAATTGAGGTAATGCCCGGAGGACAAGCTTTTAACCACCGAACATGGGCAGCCAGAGTCATTGCGCAGCCAGAGTCATTCCCTTGCTTGCGTGTAGCTTTTATGAACGTACGCAGCCTTTTATTGAAACAAGATGATCTGCGGCAATGGGTTTCTGATGTAAATCCTGACATTCTTGGTGTTGCAGAAACCTGGTTGGATTTGACTGTCTTCGATCAAGAGATAAAACTCCCTGGCTATGAGCATTTTCGTTGCGATCGTCAGCAGCGGCTCCATGGTGGGGTGCTCCTCTATGTGAAGTCGGACATACGTTGCCGGTTACAAAACACTTATTTGAGTAATGATTGTTACTGTGAACAAATTTGGTGCGAAATCATCACGACCAAAGGCAATTTTCACGTGGGAGTGCTTTACAGAAGTCCAGCTAATATCTTTTCCGACTGGATTACACGAGCTAAGAATAATCTATGCGCCCGAAATGTCCTACTTATGGGTGACTTCAATTTTCCCCATGTAAATTGGTCCAGCTATACGGCCCTCCCTGGTTGTACCGACTTGGAAACCACATTTCTCAATACGGTGCTAGAAATGGGATTGATACAGCATGTGCATCAACCGACGCGGTCTCTGCCCTATCAGATTCCTTCCTGCCTAGATTTACTATTTACTCAAGCCGAGCAAAGATTGGATTATTTATCAGTTTCTGAACCACTGGGCACTAGTGATCATATGACATTGTTTGCATATCTTAGGCTTCCACATCATCGCACTCCACCGCGATTACCCCAGAGAAATGTTTGGAAAACAGACTTTGATGCGTTATTAATTGCGGCTAATTCGATGGATTGGACACTACCAACAGAAGGATCCGTTGATACATGTTGGCTTTCTCTTAAAGACAAAATATCATGGCTATGCGACCTATATACGCCTGTTCGACATTGCAAATCAAATCGATGTCGCCCACCCTGGTTCGATCGCGAGCTTGTAACGTTGACCAAACGCCGCCGAAAACTGTGGAACCGTTATAGACAGTCTCGTGATCCCGTGGATTATGCAACTTATAAGCAGCAGCGAAATTCATGCAATTTTACGAAATTGAGAAAACGCCAAGCTTATGAAAACTCTCTCGCCGAATCGGCCAAAACAACGCCCAAAAGGATTTTTGCTTATGTCAACAGAAATCTCAAATCCTCTGATGAGCTACCGTACATACAAGATCAAGATGGCAATACCATCACCTCAGACTCCGCGAGGGCCACTGAGTTTGCCTGCCACTTTTCTTCTGTATATGCCACAAACCCCTCAAGAGACAGTCTTACTGGTTCCTGCGCGGTTAGATTGGATTCGTTGGTGTGTTGCACCGAAAAGGTGTGTTCTCTGCTTCTGTCGCTCAATACGGCAAAGTCCGCCGGTCCTGATGACCTCCATCCCGTAATTTTGAAGACATTAGCACCAGTCATTGCACCTGCAGTCACGACTCTATACAATAAATCCCTTGCAGAAGGCGTGTTGCCTCAGGAATGGAAAGATTCAGTTGTTCGGCCGTTCCCCAAAGGCGGAGATCTTTCTCGAGTCACAAATTACCGTCCAATCTGCCTTACTCCCATACTCGCTAAGGTTCTGGAAAAGATCGTGAAGCAGGCTCTGTTGCATATGCTGGATGAATTTCAAATTCTTACGCCGGCACAACACGGTTTTCTTCGCGGCCGTTCTTGTGTGACCAACATGCTCACTGCTCGTCATCACTGGTTAGCCGCTGTTGACGCTGGGCATGCTGTTGATGTTATATTCGTGGACTTTAGTAAGGCGTTCGATAGGGTAGACCACACTGAACTGATAAAAAAACTGCAGGGCTACGGCATAGGAGGGGATTTACTTCGTTGGCTCAAATCGTTCCTGCATGACCGACGCTGGAAGGTGAGAGTAAACGACCACTGTACAGACTGGTATACGTCACCTAGTGGCGTACCTCAGGGAACGGTTTTGGGTCCAGTTCTGTTTCTACTACATGTGAATGATCTACCAGGGGTCCTACAGTCGGCAAGTCTGTTATTCGCTGATGATCTTAAGATATGGAAACCTATTGAGTGTGACGAAGACCGAGTGGCTCTTCAGCATGACTTAGAACGTCTGGTGGCGTGGTCCTCTGAAAGGAGGCTTCCGATCAACCCGGCCAAATCAGAATACATATGCCTGGGAAAGCCAACTTCAGATCGTGTATATCATCTAAATGGCCAAAAATTGAAATCGGTCTCATCAATCCGAGACTTGGGCGTTCAAATCCGTTATGATTTAAAGTCGAAGGACCACACGAGCGCTGTGTATAAGAAGTCTCTTCGCATTTTGCGGGCATTGAAGCGAAGTTTTTCGATGTGGACGGAAGAGTTAGTTTTAAAAATGTATCCCACCATGATCCGGCCTATATTGGAATACCGTGCACCAGCTTTCTTCCCACTTACGAAAGACGAAGCCCGAAAGCTCGAACGTGTCCAACACCTCGTTACAAAGATGGTTCCCAGTCTGCGGAGTCTTTCTTATTCTGAGAGATGCAGAAAACTGAAATTGTTCACACTTGAATACAGACGTCTCCGGATTGATCTCATCTATGTTTTCCGTATTTTGTGCCTAAACCATTTTCCGCAGTTGATGTTCTTGTTTGACATTCCAACAACCAACATCACCCGAGGACATCGATTTAAACTTACTGTCACACGCATGGACAATGTGCCTCATGGGTACAGTTTCTCTCGCCGCGTTGTGTCATTTTGGAATCGTTTACCGGCAAATGTCGTTCAGTCAGAAACAGTTCAAATTTTCAAACGTAATTTAGATGAACATTTATCTGATCTATGCTTCTGTGAGGATATCTCCTCCGCTCTGGTCCCGAAAGTCAGCTACTCCACTAGCGGACCAAGGGCGTATATGGAATGATATTCGCATTTTTCCTCTCGATGTAGTGTACACAGAATTTTTTCTTTTGCTCCAAATATATGATTCTGATTCTGATTTTGATTCTGACTGTGCGGAAGTGTCACGTGCTGGCTGCCGACTGAAGAAGGGCGTCCCTTGATTGGTCAGAATTTCAGCCAATCTGGATCGGGTAGCTATAGCTCGACGCTTATCGCTCGCTTACGAAAATCTAGCGCAACCTTTCGGAATATTATACGATAGTCCCACAAATATGGATGAAATAATCTTCCTTTGTCTTTCTTAAAGGCTGCCCCAAGCCACCGTATTTTTCTATAAACCACGGCGCGCGGAGCAGGAGCCCGAGATCCGACACCGAATTTGCACCCCCGTCAGCAAGCCACAAAGGGTGCTGAACAAATCCATCTACCTGGACAGCTGTATCGGTTCAAGTGGTCCGGATGCGGAAGACCAGGGGAGGTTTCGTGAACGTGGTTGCTGCTCTCTCCTTGATGGGGTCCTGTGACGGAACAGGACGGGACAGTCAGACATGGCTCAATCGCACCCCAATGACGCTCGTGCCTCCAAGCTATCGCCTTCAATGCATAGCTCCCCACTCAACCTCGCAAATGAAACGTTTAATCATAGGATTGTATCATGCATCAGTTCTATCGGCTTCTGCCTCCAATGTGCAGCTACCTAATCAGTGTCCCCAAATCGTCCATGGGTGAAACCGTGGCAGCCAGAATCACGATACGGCATGCACACAGTTTGTACAGCTGATGATGTCGAGGCCGTCAGAGGCACTTTGTTGGCCATCCTTATTTCTACTTCAGCTGAAATATTCAGATATGTGGAAACGGATGGTCCCGTACATTGTTGTTCAACTGGTTCGGCCTTCGGGTCAGGACGCTTTTGCTTATGCAAAAGAATCACCATGGTGTGATCTCCAATAGTTCTCCTAAAACCACCTTGCGTGGACTGGTTTCAATGATCAAATAACAAAGTCCTCGTGCATTCTTGGCCTCCCGGACCACACTTTCATCCCCTTAGCCTTCTGTGTCCACCAGGCCTCGCGTTCTACGCGCAGACTATCTTTCACTTGATGTCTCGTAATTTGTCGAGCAAATATATGTTCCGGACCGGAGGCTTTAATTCTCAGAGCTTCAAGTGGTACCACTCTCCGGTATGATATCCAGGGCTTGAGTGGGGGGTATCGCGGTGGCATAGGCGAAACCCCTAGTAGTGAAGAAAGATGTGCAGGACAATTTTCCAGCATGAATTCGTAGCTCATAGTGAAGTATTTGAAAAAGGCACCGGACGGCTATTCTCATGAATATGTCAAACATCGGATCCGCCTGTTCCTCGGTTGCTTATTCGTTCGTCTGCGCCTTACGCGGGAGAAGTGACTCCAGATGAGCGCGTGGCCGCTATCCACATGTATATTTCAAAACGAGTGACTGTCACTTATTAATCGGTGATACCGGTGAATGGTGGCAAGGTGATTGATTTCAATCTGCAGCTGATACGGTTTTTGAGTGCACCATGTGGCCGGAAGAAGTGGGTTCTTTCGAAAGCTATTTCTTTATAAAATGCCCGCGATCAGCACAAGGCTTAAGCATTCCTTCATTACTGAACATGGGTGCTATATCAGATACGTGTCAACCAATAATGAATATAATAATAATAGTAATCTTTACTCCCAACTTGTGGGTGGCATACAGCCTGGCATGGTCATACGTTACCAGTCAGGACGAAGCACGACTGCGGTTAAGGGGGGATTGCTGGAAAAGAGGACAATGTCATAAACACTGGGCAATATCCGGTGAAGTAATACCAATAGGTTTATTTCCCAGCTTCAGGGGAACAATGGGCATGAGGTCCGACTGGTTCAAAGATGAAGCCGGCTTAAATGAACTAATACTGAAAACAATCGCTGGCCATGGGTGACCTTGAGCGGCTGAATAAATGGCTGACAAAAATAAAAGATGGAGATGGAGATGAAATAATTCGAAGTGGAAGCAACTATCAAGTTGTGTCCCAGAAATGTGGTTTCATATGAAACCACAAACCCCACCTGTCATGCCTTTATTCTGACTGTAATACTATGATCATGCCCGACGGTATGCTACCCACTAGTTGGGAATAAATAATAATATTATTATTAAGTAAACCCACTGGTTCCACTGTTGTAGGGAAGTCAGGTGCACCAGGTCTGCCCACTTGTACATTCATGGGTAAGCTAGGTTGTAAACGGATTGGGCAAACACACTTAAGCCAACTCCCGGATTGCGGATCTCCGTCAAAAGCGTTGTCCGGCTAACCACGAAAAGCTGACTATCGAATTGAATTCAATCAAGCAAGTATCCTTCCACTCGGTTATTTAAGATGTTGCCGAAGCTCACGTGTCCTCCCGTAGGGGCCTCTGGATCGTCATAATTGTGTCACAGCAGAGGAAAATGATGGAACAGGCTTATAAACCACCATGTCGAGAAAGCAAATTTTTTCAAGGTGCAACATACACCTACATCAAGCAAGTTCAATATGACTGCAGCATATTTTAATAGCAGTGGTCGCTGCACATGCTCCTACAACCATCCCGGTTGGACAAGAGACCGTAGGGGTCACACATACACTCAACCAACTTTGTGCAACAGATATAAGTTGTCCAACGTTAGCCTTCATCCTGTAAAGCCTATTTGGGTAGATGAGTCCATTTACCAATAATTCCAGTTTTTCGTTGTGGTCATGGTTTGGTGACCTTGATGAACTAGGTTTAGTTGTTTAACTGTACTACATAGCTGACATCAATATCTCTGGGCCATTCTAGAGCAAGATTCGCAACGGCCGTTTGGTCGATGCAGCTGATGGCACTAAGCTTCACCATGAGGGTCAGATGTTCATTTCAGTGGTCCAGAAAGGCGTAAACCCATTGAGTTTAATGTTCTCCAAAGATATATTGGACATTCATTGATAAATCAGACTCCTTCCTTTTCTCTTCACCGTTACTGATGCCTTTTTGTCCGAGATTTTACGGCAAATATGCAGGCGCACCCACGAAAGGTACGTTCCTCCAGCGGTGCTGGCGGATATTTGGATGAATGATTAATTAGAAACCATAAGCTGATTCTCATTATTTCTACACTCACTTCGAGCACATCGTACGAAAATGGATGCTGCCTTCGTTTCACTCTAGCTGGTAGGGACGATCTGTTTTACCAAATTGGCTATACACAACTTGGACCAGCGCGAAATGGGGGTCTTTTCTTCGCACATGAACGGGGAGTGTTGACGACCGTCAGGAGATCCACGCATGTGGTGCTCGAATAGAAAAAACATTTGCGCATTTTCGAGGCACATGGGTGTTCCAGATTCAACGCTCAGGGTTCCTTCGAAAGTCGGTGTCAAACTCAGTCGTTACGCGCGGAGTATGAAGGTGTCCGTCTCGTACATCCAGGTGTTCTTCACTTCAGCGAAGACCGGGGCCTTGTTGGATGTCTCGCAGCACCCGGTTTCGGGTTTTTGAAGAGAGTGATAATCAGAGCTGCAGTGATGTTCGAGCGCCCCGTTCAAAAGACCGGATTTCGTTGGGAGGCATATTGCCAAGCGGCCCAAAACCGAAAAACTGCCCTCTGGTTTGATAGAAAATCCGGAAATGAGAACTGAATTTGTAGTTCGCTTATTCTCGTCCTTACAAAACTCCAGATAATTTGTTAGAAAGTCTTCGAATCTTTACAAATACAACTACAGAACCCTTATCTCCCGCAAAAAATTGACTCACTGTCCCACGTTTTGTGTGAAGCGGCATTTGTAGAACAAAAATAAAATTCTAATTCTGTAAAATTAACCCCCACGTGTCTACCGCCAGTATTTGCGATGGTCCGTATGTTCCGACGGCACCTAATTTTCTCAGGAGCGCTAATTATTGCTACTTGTGAATTCAAATGCCGGGCAGCCGCGGCAACACCTGAGCTATGGGCGCGCTATTCTTGAGGACCGTGAAGAGTCGTGGAGGGTTTTTCCGCCCGTCTCCCAAAACTCGGCTCG